CTTGCAGGGCAGCTGGCAAAAGTCTCTCTCCCCCGCGCTGGCAGCTGATCCACAACCACAATCCATAGCAACCCACATATGTGTCCAGAAGCTTCTGCCTTATATAGCCAGGCCCCACATGGCCTTCGGGCTCTGCCTGTACCTGCTGGACACCTGCCAGTCACATGAATGACTCTGCAGTTTTGCAGCAGTTCTCTGTGCTTTACAGCACCAGGTGACCATCTGCATGGTGTCACATCCCATCACACAGCATGAGTCAGCACGACTCAGCTGCAATCAAATGCTGTGTCATCATGGCTGCTGCTATTCCCCACAAAAACCCTGTACATTTCCCCCTGGGACTCCTTCCTAACAAAAGGAACCCTACTATGCAGTTTTCTTTGCCAGTTTCTTCAAAGGAGGGTTTGCCATTGCCATCCTGAGGTGGAGAGAGCAGGTTTCCATGGCTCAGTGGGGATTCAAACTCTCCAGAGTCCTAGTCCAATGATCAAGGCATTACACCAACCTAGCCCTCTACTCAGATGTAAATTCCCCTATTGCAATGGCACATACTCAGGTATGTGGTTATTAGGACTCTATTAGGATTCTGAATTCTATATGAACCCAGAGCTCACAGAAGAGGTTTCCCTAGCTAAGCAGGGATTTGAACCTTGAGTCCTTTGCTGGCTGGCCCTCCTGGGGGGTTGATGAGCCTGAGTGGGGAAGAGAGCTCCGAAGAGATCCCAGAGCCCAGGGCCAAGGTGGATGGATGCAGGACAAGGCACTGCCAAATGGAGGACCTGTTAGCAAAAATGGGGGACATCATGCGCACACACACACGCTAAAAACGCACACATAAATTCATGTTTCCTAGTCATGATCAGAATGAGGATGTTTTGGAATTCCTCCTGGACAGAAGGTTGGAACGTAGGATAGGTCTTGGGAAAGGAGGGGGGGGGAATAGTGGATTTCACTAAAACCTGGGAAGGGATGGGTTACACCAGGGGTAGGCAACCTTTCCCCTTTAAGGGCTGAGGGACTTCAGCTCCCAGAATCCCAGGAGCTATTGGCCAACATGGGACTATTGGCCAACATGGCTGAGGCTTCTGGGTGCTGAAGTCCCTCGGCCCTTAAAGGGGAAAGGTTGCCTAACCCTGGGTTACACCCTCTCCAACCCTCTGCCATTAGTCCCTCCCCTCCAGTTTGATATGATTCAGGTCCGTGGTTCCCACTTGTTGAACATGCTTGATAATCAATTCTTTTCAAAAGAACCACCAAAACACTACTCTTTAAAAAGTTCATTTTTTTTTTTATTTGTCGGGCTTCAAAGTGAGTCAGAACGATTGCAGTCACATCTGAAACTGTTCCCAGTGGGAATAAGGCACATATACAGTGATCAGCAAATTGCTTCAATCATACTGGGAATGAGCCCTAGGATTTTCCTCCAAGTGCACCAGGGCCATATTTCTACTCACTGGATACAATTGTTTCTTTCCTCCTGGAGGATTACCAGGATCAGTAGCCAACAGCTTGTGGCCCAGTGGCCATTTACAGTAGCACTACTTTATACCATCTAAGTCATGGGTCCCCAAACTGTGGCCCGCGGGCCGAACCCAGCCTGTCGAGGCCTTTCAACTGGCCCGTGGCCTGTTTTGTCACTGCTGTGCATGTGACACAAAGTACCATTTTGTGTTCCAAAATGGCACCCAGCATTGTGCGTGCATGCGCATGACTCCGTGCGCCATTTTGGAACACAAAATGGTGCCAGAGTAATGTGCATGCGTGTGCGACACGGGGTGCCATTTTGTGTTCCAAAATGGCACCCGGAGTCATGCGCATGCACGCACGATGCTGGGTGCCATTTTGGAACACAAAATGGCACCTGAGTAGTGTGCATGTACGCATGCACACGCACATCTCCTGCTGTGATTTTTTTTCTTCTGCCCTCCAAACATCTGATGGACAGCTAACCGGCCCCTGGCTGAAAAAGTGTGGGGACCCCTGATCTAAGCTTTCTCCACTCATTCTTTGATTTCCTAAGTTTGAAAATTGCATGGGGCTAGAACAGATTCTTCTCTTAATGAAATCATCCTCCATCTGAAGCTTGAGAAAGGAATAATCAAGGGAAGTAGGTCTAATGCACTTCCCTTCCATTTACTCAGCACAGAAAGAACACCTGAATAGGTATCTAAGGGATGCTTGGTTCCTTTAGTTTAGAAAGGAGAGTAGAAACAATTTGGAGATTATTATACCTCCTCCTGGACCCAGCTTACCTCTTGTGAATTAGACCCCAATTTGGGCTGGAGCCAGGTCTTATTGCATGGGTTTTGCACATAAAAAAGCCATCCAAGTGCATCCCCTCTCCCATGCAAATTGGGAAATATGCTCTGGCAGCCATTTTTCCAAATCGGAAGCTTCCAACCTGGAAAAATGGCTGCAGGAGTGCATTTCCCACTTTGCATTGGAGAGGGTATGCACCTGGACAGCCCTTTTAGCCATGCAATAAGACCCGGCTCCAGCCCAAATTGGGCACTATCACAAGAGGTAAGCTGAGGATGGGAGGAGGTGCAATAATCCCCTTTGTCTCACCTGCTGTGCTTTTAGCAGTTATAGAAGCGTGGATATAATTGGATTTTTTATTAACTTACAGATTCAGTTTAATGCAAACTCAAATCTTCCAAAAGGTCAAATCAGTTTGTGAGGTAACATGACCAAGAAGAAAAAAAATCTTGTTTTTAAAACAATTTTATTTTGATGCAAATGGCAAGTCTTCTATTTTTCAGCTTCATACATATTGCTCTGTGATCATTTAAGATTGAAACCATAAACATCACAATCTTTTAAAAAAGGTTTAGTTAGAAAATATAGCAATAAGCATAGGCAATGTGGGCAGACATTGTCTTCAGGCATTTTCCATTATCTTTTTCTTTTCTTTTTTTTTAAATGTTTTCTCTTTGATGTGTTACAGTGATGTGCTTTATTTTTTACATATATGGAAATATGAATGTCAAATGGACGGAATGATAAACATTAGAAGCACAAAACTACATATGCAAGAGAATTCTCTTAAATAATAGAGAATAATCTAAAGTATAGATGAACACAGATCATTTCTACTCTTTTCAATTCTTTACTGTCTCTGCAGCTTTTTTCCTCTGATCCATCCTTTTGACCTTCCAAGAGAGCAATGACCACACAGATTTTATCACACACACACACACACAAAACACTTGTTCATAGTAGCTTCTTGTACCACTCTCTAAAGCATATGGTTAGATCTCATTTTCTAAAAGCCATAGGATGCAATGTTGGATTGGATTCAGATTCAGTTGTACTTGCAGGAGTCCCATGAAATCCTAACTTAATTCCTATTATTAGGTTTATCCTAAATATATTTAAAATTTTACCCCACTCTGTGTAAATAATGAAACTTAATATCATAGAATAACATTTATAAAAATAATAAATATATTAAAAAATCATACATTAGACTTTCAGTTTACTAAACAATAATAAAGTACTTTTGATATTTTGCAGGTGTAGTAGTAAAATGCTATTTTACTAGCTTGTAATTTCTTCTTCATTAATAAACTTTGCCATCTTGACCATATGTGATGTTGGTTGGACACATATGTCCCATTTTTCATGTGTTAAATGTTGGAGGTGAGGTAGTACTGTGAAGAAGAGAATTTGAATTTCATGCTAAGGATATGTCAACACTGGCCAGAATACTTCTGGCTGCTCCCAGAGTATTGTGGCCCCTAAGCTGTCCTGAATTCCCTCCTTTCCGCTGTACTCCAGAGTGATGTCAGGCAGCTATCTACATATGTGTCCCACTGTGCCATCTGCTGCCAATTCTGCTGGTGTGAGTTACTCCCTCTCAGGTCAAAAACAAGACTCCCAGCATCACATGGCTGTGCACTTATTGTGACTTCAGAAGGAGTGGCTTGCACCAACAGTGGTGGCACCAAGTAGCACAATGACACATGGATGTAGATAGCCACTTGGCATCAATGTGGCATGTTCTGGATTTTCCTGGATTCCTGGAAAGTAAGTTTTTAAATTCAATTTAAGGGAGAAATGGCTCAGATTTGGTGCAGAACTTAACTTCCCAGGTGAAGATAGTCTGTACTTGAATTGGGGCTTTGCCCCTATGTCATGTGGACAGGGCAACATGAGGGAGGAGGGAAAATAGGTGTAAATGGCCCATGTAGACATGCTTTAAATCTCAAGTTAGAAAGGAGATACCTAGTTTACCTTGGGAAAGCCTGTGTGGCATAGTGGTTAGAGTTTTGGGTTGCAACTCTGGAGAGCAGGATTAGATTCCCTGCTCGGCCATTAAACCCACTGGGTGATCTTGGGAAAGTCATATGTTGTCAGCCTCAGGGGTAGACATTGGCAAATCTGCTCTGAACAAATCTTGCCAAGAAAACCCCATGATAGGCCTGAGGGTCCCCATAAGTCAGAAATGACTTGAAGGTATACAGCAACAACAACAAAGAGCCTCGGCAGACGACTAATAAAGTTGTCTCCGAGCCCTGGAAGAGGAGGGACAGCCGCACGCGCGGTGCCCCTTCCTCCTCCCGAGGTTGCCCTCGGAGCTTCCGGCCCTCCGCACGGGCAGCACTCTCAGGGCAACCTCCCGCCGCAGCGACCGCACGCACTGCAGGGGAAGAGTCAGGGAAAGTGCGCCCGACGCATTTAGGGCGCACTTTCCCTGACTTCTAAAAGGAGCGCCAATTTAGCTCTCCTTTTAGGGACGCGGACGGTGCGGCTGCTGCGGTCCCGTGGTGCACCGTCCCACGGCGCATGGGAAGCTCTCGTCTGCTTCCCCCCCAGTTACCTTACAAAAGCATAAACTGCCCTCATTTTGGCAGGAACAGTTCCATTTAATCCACTATTGTCTTGCTTTTTCAGCTGCTTTGAAAATGACCCAATTTCTTTGCCCTCCTTCTCTCACTTTCCCTTTTTATCCTCACTTATTTGAATTGCTGCAAACTGATTTCAAAGTACAAAAGTACTTTGTCCCCAATTAACTCAAAAACGTGTTTAACAATCACCTGATAGCCCAACTGATTTATGGAATCCTCTAGAGCTCTGATGATTCTTAGTGTAACCATTGTGATTTATTGTTCTTTGTCATTGTTACTGTCCTTAATGTATTTTCAGGAAAATTTAAAAGCATTTTTTTTTTTAAAAGTAATAATTAAACTGTCATTGTACTAAAAGACAGAGTTTGGATACCCTCTTCTCTGATAACAATGGCAATTTTATTGCATACTTTAAAAATATCTTTATTTTGAAAATTAAAAAATCTGTTTCAATATTGAATACGATACACAGAATATAATATACAGAATATATAATATACAGAGTGGGCTTGGACTGAATATTGAATCTGTTTTACTTGTTTAATATTTTATAACCTGTTTAAATTGTTTTATTCTTTCAATCTGAAATAATTTTAACTTGTCCATAATCTTTCATTTGTACACAACTCTGAGATTCCATGATAAAGGAAACCATATACAAATATTTTAATAAGCAAATACATATTTATTAGCCAAACATATTTGCCAATAAATATGTATTTATTAGCCAAACATATAATATATGTCTAAGATTTTGCATGGCAATCTCTATGACCTATTTTGTATATAGGGAATGGCATATTAATTTATATTAAATCCAGTTATTTTGCACGTTTTCTATTGTGTGTTTTGCCATAGTTAAATATTTAAATATGTCCTCTCTCTCTATATATATATACACACACACACACACACACACACATACAGTCAGCCCTCCATTTTTGTGGGGGATCCATTCTGGACCAATACCACCCCATGAAAACAGAGACTTGTCGACATTCAAGCCCCATGGGCTTGAATGGGGTGTGCCCCATTGATCTAACAGAGGTCACCCCTCCATGAATATTTAAAAACGCGGATCTCAAGTCTGTATGAACAGAGGGGTGACTCTGTGTGTGTGTGTGTGTGTGTGTGTGTGTGTGTGTATTAAAAAAACACAAAGCAATGAACAGTTTTACAAGATGATCTGAAGATACCTTCTAGAGAAAAAGATATAGCTGTTCCAAGTGGTTGGAAAGTATATAGTTTTAAAGTGTTTTCAAAATGAGGCTGCAATTACCAGTGGGATGCTAGGCTGTGTGATGACATGCCATCCTTTCAAGAGAGATTGAATGGGACAAATATGGCTGCTTTCATGTGTCCATTATTACAACTGTCATCACATTCCTGTTGCTCCCAGGAGCATTTGTGACTCAATTTTCAATATGTGGAGCAACAGCAGTTCTTTTTAGCAACTTAAAATACCTATTAACCAGTCTTAAAATGTTTTTACCTTTAGAGGCAATCCTCATACTGCCTTGTTTTGGTGCTAGATCTCAAGGGTAACTAGGTTGTGATCCACACATTAGTCTGTGATCTGAGAGAGCAGAAGATTGAAGGGCTTTCTCTGAAGTGCTTCTAATGATGTATTGGGGAGTAAAGAGTTTCTGAAGGTGTGAAAAGAGATTTTGGAGAGTTCCTGAGGGAAGTCAGAGAGGGAGAACTGAAGGTCACAGAGAGGAAAGAAGATCAAGGGGGGGGAGGGAGGATAATAAATAAAAAGTACCATGCAGAAAATACAGGGGACAGCAGCTTTCTCCCCTGTAGAGTGACAGAGATGAGAGCAAAAGATTGTGTAGTACAAAACAAGTTTGGGAAACCCAAATGCTGTCTTCCCCCATATGTTGCCATCCTTCTCCTAAGAGATGCTTCACTCAGCATCTATGGAAGGTGGAGGAAAGCAAGCAGAAGAATGGATAGGAGCAGCTGGAGAGGGCTTCAAGGACTTTAATAAGAAGCTCTCTGTGATCCAATGTGTTCAGTCATGGATCTGCATCTGTTTCACATTTTTTGTCTTGTTTTCACCAATATAAACAACTGTTGTTAGCCGCCTTTGAGTTTAACTCAGCTCATGGTCACCCTGTGAATAAGACACCTCCAAGCCTCCCTATCCTCTGTCTATCTTCTCCAGTCCTGTTCAGGCCCATGATCATCTTCTCTTTCTACTGCCCTCTGCTTTCCCCAGCATCATTGTCTTTTCTAATAAGTTGTGCTTTCTCATGATGTGGTCAAAGTACAGCACCACATCTCAAATGAATTATTTTTCTTCCTATCTGCTTTCTTCACTGTCCAGCTCTCACATCTGTATATGATAATGGGGAATACAATGGCTTGGATGATTCTAACTTTAGTGTTCAGCTGTATGACTTTAGAGTTTTGTCTAGTTATTTCATAGCTGCCCTTCCCATTCCTAATCTTCTGATTTCTTGAGTGAAGTCTGTGTTCTGATCAGTGTTTGATCCAAGGAATGGGAAATCTTTAACTGTTTTGATTGCCTCATTATTTAGGTTGAATTTATGTAAATCCACTATGGTCATTATTTTTGTTTCCTTATCTTTTACATTAGGCCTGCCTTTGTGCTTTCTTCTTTGATTTTCTTTAGTGATTCCAAGTCTGTGATGCTTTCTGTTATTATCTTAGGTTGTTGATATTCATTCCTCCAATCTTCACTCTTCCTTATTCTAAACCTGCTCTACATATGTTATTTTCTGCATACAAGTTGAACAGATAAGGTGACAAAATGTAGCCTTGCCTGATCCCTTTGCCAATTGGGAACCATTTTGAACCTGGCAAAATTACTTTTTTAGATTATCGGCTATCCTGGTAGGGGGATTTGAGGAGTTTAGTTCACCAGGAGCTTTTTGTATAGCATTTCTCAGAATCTTCCACCCACAATAGCCAGTAGTCTAAAAAGGTAATTCTTCCAAGCTCTGTACACATTGCATGAAGAGGATTGCCAAAAGCATTCCAGTCTTGCAAACTCAGGTCTGTGGCTGATTGAGCCTATCCACTTGTAGCAGAGTCTTTCTTTTCTTTTCTTTTTTTACCATTAATGTTCATTGTTTCCATAATTATGGTCTTTCCTGATGACAAATAATTACATCATAAAATTAGTCTTAGTCCTTTATAACATGTTGTATTTGCCTCTAATATCCCACCACTCCTCTAATTACAACTTTCTTGTCCTAATTCCCAGCTGCTTAGATGTTTAGCATAAAAATCTGGGAATGAAGATCTTGGTTGTCTTGGACCCCAGTCATTTGCCTGGAATGGGCCTATCCTTGGGAGAAGCAGTGGTGCTCTGGCTGGCCTAACAGGGAGTTCCTACAGGTAAGGAAGTTGTGGTGTGGAGAAAAGGCATATTTAACCAGGCAGGTGGAAGCCTTGGCATCATCCAATCAGGATGGGTCAAGCATTGGCCAATGAGAGTGGAGTCAGGAGTGGATATAAATAGAACAGTGTTTGGTGTTGGTTAGGGTTGATTTTTTTTTTTTTTTTAGTGTGCCCTGAGGTGATGAAGAGCCTTAGTGGCTGGATTATACGGCTGAGTAGGGCAGTTAACATGGTTTTACGTACCCAAGATAGAGAATAGGCTAGAGATCAGTGAAGGTCAAGATGTGAATTACTCTGAGGGGAATGAAGAGCCATTGAGGCTGGAACAGGCTGCAGAGAAAGGTAGTTTTAAAAAGGTATAAAGGTTTAAAAAGGAGATACTAATAGGAAAATCAATCAAGAGAATAGAGGAAGAATGGAAAAATGTTATGGAAATGTGGAAAATATAAAGGAATAATTTAAAAACAGGAGAGAAGGAAATAAAATAAAAGTAAAATAGAGATAAGCAAGAAACTTTTAGCTATATTAGATTAGAATTCGAAAGGGAGAAGCAGATGGGCAGCCATGGGCAGCCCCAGGAATCTGTGCTGCGGGACGGAGGTATCCCCACACCTCGGCCTGGTGGCACAGCTTCACTGCCCCTGAAAGGAGCGCTAAATTGGTGTTCCTTTCACAAGTCACCGAAGGTGCGCCACAAAAGGCTGCGGCACACCTTTGCCGACTCTTCTGCCACACCGTGTGCAAACACTCCGGCGTGTGCAAACACTGTGGTGGGAGGTCCTCCTTGGAGCGCTGGCTGTATGAAAGGCCGGCTGCTCCAAGGACGACCTGGGGAAGGGGTTGGGGCGCCGATCGTGTAGCTGCCCCTCCCCTTCTCTGCCCCCAAGATGGCCCTTTAAGCCATCTGCTTAGGGGGTTAGGTAGAATAAAAAAATAATGGTGATTTGGATAAAAAAAGAAGAAAAGGAATCAACAGTAAACAAAGGAAAGTATATATGTTTTGTTTTTTCTTTTTCTACTGCCTTTTTACAAATCTTTTTAGCTTAGAGACCAATATATGTGATAACTAAGGGACTATACAGACAGGCGGCTCTG